AGGCCACAGATGAGGCTTGGAATCCTGAATTTCAGAGAGGACCATGAGGGAGCCCTGTGTTGTTGGCCAAAGCTGAAGAGATACTCCAGTATCCAGCAACACATCGAAGACAGCCATAACCAGAAATAGCAACTGTGGCACCTAAATAGCAAAAGCCCCCTGAACAGGATACTTCCACGTCTGGGGTAGGGAGGAGAAATGGACAGAGAAATTCTGTGTCCCAGGAGAACTGCACAGAGTGGGCATACACATGCAGATGCCCCTGCCACAACAATTGTGCGAACATCAGAGGACAATGTGTAAGAGACAGTTCTTTCTTTTTACTGTATGAGTCCTGGGTGTTAAACTCATGTCATCAAGCTTGACAACAAACATTATTATTCACAGGGCCATCCTAATCTTGACAAAATCTTAGCTTCCTTAACAAAACTTTGATGATTAAAATGGCCACAAGTTGGGATAATTACATGAATGCTTCCACTATTTACTGTTATAGAGTTTCTAAAATACTATAATGTACAAAACCTTTGTTAGTAAAATATGTAACCTGCATTGGCCCCTGTCTTTGATTATCAGACTCAGAAGAATATGTCTTTGAGAATTCACCTTTAGAGATTAAGGAACTATCATTTGCTTCATCCTACCCTCGCCCCCTCCCACATATCCAGACACCATTACATCAGCACTGCCCTGTGTGCCTGATGAACATGTGGTGGGTTTCTTATGGTAGCCTGGGACAGTACTCCCAGGAAGCATGGTCCAACTGTTCTTTGCTAGATGGACCTCCCAGTAGCTTGACCTGACCTTGTGGGGGCTTTACTATAGCCTGCAGGCTTGGCAGTGTCTCCTCCTCCTGCTGCACCTCCTACATTAGACTGTAACTTGGAATTGCTTTGATGTGCTGCAACAAGCCTCAAAGCATGCTCAGTGACTTTCAACTGTGCCTACCTCATGTGTAAAGCAAAACTGCCCTATGGCTTCCCTCTGGTTCTTCACCACAATGGCCACAGTGAGACCCTTCTTTCCCAGATCAGTGTAAGGCAGTCAGCAGAGTGATCTATAGTTCAGGGCTGCAGCAGGGCCAGATTTCTTCTATCAAATACACATTCCTAGAGCCCAGCAAGAGCAAATGAGATACAACTTTTTTTTTTGCTGTTTCTTCCTCTTCCATTCATCCCCCTCCCACTGCCTTTCTCCTCAGGCTGCAAAGGAGATGATGGAGTAGTCAGAGATGTCCCTGTGGGTGGGGCAGCTACATTGTTCAGTAAAACAGAGCCCCACTTTTGGTTGTTAAGGAATAAAGAAATTGAGCAAGCCCCCCCCCCCAAAAAAAAACTTTTCTTCTTGTTGAACGGTTATCTGGCTTCTGCTGCTGTTGTCTTCCACATATTCAGATTTTAATGTCAGTCTCTAAAATTTTATCTCCTGATCTTATTTTGCTTTCCCTTAGGAGAAAAAGATCAGATTTACCCCTAAGAAATATAAATGAGTATTGCAAGAACTAAAAGAGAAATGCAATATATATATATATACATATATATATATGTATATATATATATATATATATATATATATATATATATGTAAAGTATGTTTATTTTTCCAGTCTCAGAAGCCTCAGACCAGGCAAGCCAGACATATCTTATTAAGTTATGTCTATTACCTTAGCATCTAGCAAGATGATCAAAGTCTAGGTTTTTATGATTGCTCATATTGTCACCTTGACAAGATCCACCATCACCTAGGGACTATTCTCTGGGATTGTCTGGTTGGAGAGATTTTAGCGGGAGTTAACTGAGGTGGGAAGACCCATTGTGAATGTGGTGGCACCTTCTGTGATGGGGTCTAGTACTGAATCAGAAAAGTAAGTGAGCTCATAGCCAGCTACACCTTCATCTGCTCTCACCTGCAGAGGTCACATGATCTGCAGCCCCAGGTTCTTTCACTATGGGCTGTACCCTCAAATTATGAACCCAAATAAACCCCTCTTTCCTGAAGTTTCTTTTGTCAGGCATTTTATCACACCAGTGAGAAAAGCAACCAAAACAATTTACCATGCTACTTTATTTTTTTTGTGGTCTCCATTCTAATGCAATGTCTCTTCAGGGATCTTTCTCTTAAGTTATTAAAGAGAATTTTCAGAACTCTTCTTTGGAGATCTAAGTTTTTATTTTCTCTCTCCCTTTTTGAGTTTTAAAAGCATTTTTATCTTTATTTGCTTTTATATAGTACAGTGGATCCTATAACCTAACTGCAATCTGAAAGCTTATGGCATATAAATAACCTAATGATGCAAGTCTCCTTCTCCCACTGTCCATACCCTGGCATAAGGCAGAGTAGACTAATCATATTAAAAATAATATCAGAAAATATTAATTGTAGGTATGTGTTGTTCTAGTCATTCCCCACTGTTTCATGTCTTAAGGAGCTGAATTTGGTTTCAATGTTTATACATTTTTTCTTTATTATAAATATTTAATTTCCAGCATGGGGAACAGGTTATCACAAGCCAGCTGAGCACCAGAGATAGGTCTTGCTCTCATTGTTAGAAGCCTTACTGAGAGAACTAACTACACAATTATCACAGACATGCAGAGGGCTTAGGTTGGTCCAATGCAGGCTCCCTGACTGCTTGGTACTTAAAAGCTTCTGTAGAACAAGAGACACTGTCAATAGACAAAGGGCAGCTTACAGAGTGGGAAAAAATCCTCACCAACCCCACAACTGACAGAGGACCAATCTCAAAAATATAAAGAATTCAAGAAGACAGACATCAAAATACCAAATACTCCAATTAAAAAATGGGGTATAGATCTAAACAGAGAATTCTCAACAGAAGAATCTCAAATAGCCAAAAGACACTTAAAGAGTTGTTCAACATCCTTAGCCATCAGAGAAATGCAAGTCAAAATGACTTTGAGATACCATGTTACACCTGTCAGAATGGTTAAGATCAAAAACATGAATGTCAACATATGCTGGAGAGGGTGTGTAGTAAGGGGAACACTCCTACATTGATGTGGGAGTGTCATATATCAATCTGCTGATTTCATTGGTTAAGCAATAAAGAAACTGCTTGGCCCTAGGTTAAAACATAGGTGAGAGGAGAAAACAGAATAGAATGCTGGGAGGAAGAGGAAGTGAGCTCAGACTCGCCAGCTCTGCTCTCTGGAGCAGAGATGCCTGCTCCGCTCTCCCAGGTAGACTCGATAGCTCTGCTCTCTGAGGCACATGCGATGAAGCTCCGACCCAGGATGGATGTAGGCTAGAATCTCCCTGGTAAGCCACTTCGTGGGCTACACAGATAATTAGAAATGGGCTAGTCCAGGTGTGAGAATTAGCCTAGAAGAGGCTAGATAGAAATGGGCCAAGCAGTGTTTAAATGAATACAGTTTGTGTGTTGTTATTTCGGGGCATAAGCTAGACAGGCAGCCGGGGTGCTGGGGATGCAGCCCCGCCGCGCTCCTATTACTACACTACATTGCTGCTAGGAGTGTAAACTTGTACAGCTGCTTTGGAAATCAATATGGCAGTTTCTTAGAAAATTTGGAATCAATCTACCTTAAGACCCAACTTTACTAATTTTAGGCATACACCCAAAGGATCTTCAGTCATACAACAAGGACACTTGCTCAACTATGTTCATAGCACCACTATTTATAATAGCCAGAATCTGGAAACAACCTAGATGCCCTTCAACTAAAGAATAAATAAGGAAAATGGGATACACACACACACACACACACACACACACACAATGGAGTACTATTCAGCTGTAAAAAATGATGCTCTTATGAAATTTCAAGCAAATGGATAGAATTAGAAAAAAAATCATTTTCAATGAGGTAACCCAGATCCAGAAAGACAAACATGGCATGCGCTCACAGATGCTTATTAGGAATAAAATATAGGATAACCAACCTACAATCCACAGACCCAGAATGCTAGATAACAAGCAGGATCCAATGAGGGAATGCCTGAATTTTCTTGGGAAGGGGAAGTAGAAAAGATTTCCTGGGTAAACTGAGGGTGGTGTTGGGGACATGAAGGGATTGCAACTGGAGGGAGCAGGTTGGGCGGACTGAGTGATCTTAAGTGACACTCCAGCTGCAGTGCTTGTCTTGATGGGTAGAGAACGGTGTCTAGATTGTATATTAGGGTGATGCACAATAAGCAAATCCCTGCCTGTTTTGAGTTGACTTTTTCATTTTAAAGACAGTTTTCAGAGAGTGAAGGTATTTGCTATCTATATAGAGATTTTCTCTCTTCTACTCTCTCTCCTCCCTTTGTTTCTTTCTTCTTTCTCCCTTTCCTTTCTCATTCCCTCTCTCCTTCCTTCTTTTCTTTTTTTAAAGAGAGTTTCTTACTTTGTACCCCAAAACCTCTGAAATTTATTATGCAGCCCAGGCTACCCTTGAACTTACAGAATGTACTCTGATTAAATCCATACCCATTACCTTCTGGTGGCCCCTTATATGCCTGTTGATATTATTTCTCTCCCTAACCAGTAATTTTTCTACTTTCATGCCGTTTTGGGGGTTAGTTTGCTTTGGTGGCCAAGTAAGTTTAATTGGGGTTACATACATGAGCATGGGCAAGGGATTGTTTACAGGAGCATGGCTAATCTTTCAGTGACTATACCATTGAAGAGAGTTTATCTCACCTCCTAGTGAGCATTAACTGCCAGGGGTTTGCTCAGGGAAGCTTGAGACATTGTGAGTCCCTTCTGAATAGATGCTGAACTGTTGATAGGTCCAGACTTGTGCAGATGGTTATTATAGCTGCCGTGAGCTCATGAGTGTTGTGGCTATAAAATGAGGGCTGGACTCATTGGGGTTTCTGTCCCTCCCAGTCCCCCAGCCATTTAGTTCCAGATAAAATCACACAGAGAGTCTGCATTAATTATAAACTGATTGGCCCATTAGCTCAGTCGTCTTATTAACTCTTGTAGCTTATATTAACCCATTATTCTTATCTACGTTAGCCACATGGCTCAGTACCTTTCAGCCGGGCAGGTTACACCTTGCTTCTCTGTAGTCTGGGCTGGAATAGGAGAGGGAGCTTCCTGCTTCCCAGAACACTCCTGTTCTTATCGCCCTGCCTCTACTTCCTGTCTGGTTGACCCACCTATACTTCCTGCCTGGCCAATTAGCATTTATTTAAAACATGATTGACAGAATACAGACAATTCTCCCACACCAAGTGGCCATGCTTTTCTGAGAAGCTAGCCTTTCACAGGACAGTTCTCTTTCCTCCAGCTCTCGCTTTCCCCTCCATGTTCTTTTTGTGGTATTTCCTGAGCCTTAGAAGGGTGTATATATAGATGTTCCAGTTACAGCTACAAATGCAATAGTGATGTATTCTTAGCATGTTCATCAGTTTTGAATCTCTGCAGGTACTGTTATCCACTTAAAAAAACTCAGATCTAAGTTTGTCTACTGATATTTTGTTGAGCTAATCAGCTATTAGTTTTTCTAATATGTGCTATGTGCTAAATTCTCCAACTCTTGTGTTTTCCTGCACCTGTAAAACCATCCCTCAATTTTTTTCTTTTCTTTTCTTGGGGAGGAAGGGTGGAGTTTGAAACAGGGTTTCTCTGTATAACAGCCCTAACTGTCCTAGAACTAGCTCTTGTAGACTATGCTGGCCTCAACTCACAGAGATCCTCCTACCTCTGCTTCCTGAGTGTTAGTATTAAAGGTGTGTGTCACCACCGCCCAGCATCATCCCTCAATTAATACCTATACAGTGAGCATTTTTTCTGTCATTATTTATGAGGTCAATACTCATCTCAGATCTTCTGAGAGACCAGCACTATTTGCTTTGAAACCACACACAATGTCTAGTCCATATCCAGAGGCTAACTCTCTTTCATACTTGATGGTTCCTCTGCCATGAATTCATCACTGCCCACACTGCGGTGCGTTGACCTAGGAATAAATTAATATATTGATTTCCCTGCTTTCTGCTTATGTTTCTTAAGCACTACTCCAGGCTGCTTTTCTCCTAAGTAGATATTAGAGTAAGAGGACTATGTTAGCAGCCTCACTTCTATGTCATGTAAATGCTGTTGCTGATGGTCCATGTTACTTTACTCCACATATAATGAATTGCCATTATCTTGTGTGCTTAGAGTTTACAGGTTGAGTTCCTAACCCAGCATATTATAAAGTGACTATATTTGGGGATAGGTCCTTTAGAGAGATCATTATGACCAAATGGGGACTCAATGAGTAGTATCGTTAAAGAAGAGAAGAGAAACTTGGGATTTCCTTATGCAGAGGAAAAGACAGAGCAAGGTGGCCATCTGCAAGCCAAGAAAAGGAGCCTCAGAAAAGCCCATCCTGTCTGCTCCTTGATGTGGGACTGCTAGATTCCTCTACCAAAAGAAAACCGATGTCTGTGATTTGAGCAGCTAGTTCACAATGTTATGTCATGGCCCCAGCAGATCAATGTGGAGAATTGTCATGGATATCTGAATTGCGGTGTTTAAGGGTTGTGCTCATTTGTTGTGAGGTTCATTGTCTGCATCATAAACCTCCTAGGCTCTTGATGAGGGAAGAACTGAGTAGAGTGTTTGTCCCCTCCCTAGAGGGATGCCATGGCAGTGCACAGGAGCATGCTTCTGGGACAACACAGAGGGATTGGTAGGCCTGGTGAAGCGCTCTCAACATGGGAACTGCCTGACTCTGGGTTTGGTCTGGGATCAGGTTCTCTTTTAATCTTTCTGGACTAGAGCTTTTATTCTAGAAGAAAGTTTACTTGATTCTCAGAGCTTGCCTCTAAGAGGGATGACCCCCAGAGACTCTCAGAACATCCCCCAGAAAAGGAAAGTCTGAGATGAAGGAAGAAAGCAAGGCTCTGGTCACGTGTGTGGAGGTCTCTGATGGCCACAGCCCTCCGAGTGTGTCTTTGCTTACTCTGGGCTGTGGGAGGTATAGCTCCAGGCTTCTCTTCGTGACTGATAGTTAAACTAATCTGTTAGCTAATCTGTTTGCTCAGCTATCTGAGAGAATTCAGCCTGTTCTGAACCTCAGCCCAGACTTCAAAGGCTGTCTAGAAGAAATTGTTCCTGATTTCCTGCCCACTCCAACATGCAAACCATATTGAAGCTGTGTGACCTTTTTCAGACAACTCCTACAGTTACCCCCACTGCCAGGTTCTTCCCTTTCCCATGCCAGTGTCACCCATAGGCCTTGGGCTACTGCCCCCACACCTCAGAGGTGACCTCTAAGTGGCCTCTGAATGAAGCATCTGAGTCTTATTCTTTTTTTTTTTTTTTGAGACAAGGTCTCACTTTGCAGCACAACTACCCTGGGACTCACACTATATAGACCAGGTTGGCCATGAAATCAGAGATCTGCCCGCTTCTGTCGCCTGAGTGCTGGGTTTAAAGATGGGCACTAAGACACGAGCTCTGAGCAGTACTGTTGCTAGGGTTCTAGTGTCTCCCGAGAATCCCAAATGGCAAATGTTCCATGATCTCACATCTCTTGTTTCCCCATGTTGTGGCATAGGAGAGCAAGGCTGACACACGCCCTGGGCTCACGGATTCAAGGAACAATGTCATGAGTCCTACGGGATGATGCTGCGTGGCAATGGTTCGTTTTTCTTCCCCCCAGGGTCGCGAGTGAGAAATCTGTGGAGACGGAAGGTCCACGCGGTTGTTGTCAGGAATATTGTGTATAGATTTCCTTGAGCAGGAGGGGTAGTCAGGCATTATACTGTGGGTGTCTTCCCTTTTCCTGTACACTAGCCTGACTGTACATACTTCTGTGGGAAGAGTGAGGAACATTTGGTGTAGCTGAAACCGAGACAGTGGATGGAGAACTGCTCATGAGCCTACTGCATATGGTGGCTACAACCAGATCGAGAGCTTGTAAGGCAGGAGGTCATGTGTTAGGACAGCTTGTGAGAGTAGAATCAGGCAGGGCATAGCATCCCACCCTGGCACACTGAGATCCTGCTGTCTCAGTCCAGGCAAAGACACAGGAGGGGTTGTGGAAGAAGCCTGCTGGGAAACCTTCCTGAGGAGGTTAATTGTTGAGGTTTTGGGCTTTCCCAAATTCCATTTACCAAGTCAGTAGGTGAGATGACCTGCGAATAGAGGTGACTCAGAATCCCTACCTAAAACTAAATTTCTCACTTGGTCTCTGGCCTGATAACTGATCTCCCCCTGCCTTCATGTTTTGGTGACATTTTAACTGACTCCCATTTCTCGCGTGTAAAATAGATGCTAAACTCCGTGGCTTTTAATCCTAACTCCTTTATTTACATAGATGACAAAATACTACCGTTCATGGTACCTTTACACCGTACAAGGACAGCAGGTTTGGAGGGTGATTAGGAGAAGGATCCCGAGGACTCTGGCAGGAGGCTATCCTTGGATGAAGGGACATGAGAAAATGGAGGGTGAAGGGCTCCTTGCTGGGATTCATGCAGACAGGACAATGTCCCGGGTGAGTGTGGGCTCCCAGAGGATGCTTGGGTCTGGGGAGGGCTACAGGTAAGGAGACCAAAGTGTCCTGACTCCATTTGCCTTGCAGGCTTGAGGGTGAGACAGGTGAGAAGCCATGGAGAAGGAATATGGCTGCCGGGACACTTGCTTCCTTTTTCCATCTGTGTGGAGGCTCTGGTGGAGCCTCCCCTCTGGCACCCCGTGTGTGTGATGGATCTACTCTTCAGGTCTCCTACCTGATTTAATTAATAGGTGCATAGCACTTTCTTTGGGGGCATTAGTATTAGTTTATTTTCCCCTGTTTTTCTGCAGGGGTAAACACAGAGGAGCCTAATCAGACTTCAAATCTATCATTTGACCCTCCCTTGGCAGCAGAGGGGGAATGGGTGAGGGGAGGCTCTGGGCAGGAGGAGAGCAGGACAGAACAGTTTGTTCTACAACCCCTGGTCTAAGAAAGAGCAGTGAGTAATGACAAAGCTTTGGGTCAGAGCCAGTTTAAGGGTGAGAAGGTTATACTTTCCAGGCTTAGGAGAAGGTTCAAGGGAAGGCCAGGACGATTCTGGAAGCCAAGATAAATGGGTGGGGAGTAGAGGTTAGACAGTAAGTCTCTTCTTTGTGGGAGGGAGAGGGGTCCCTGGGTATTGCAGGACTGTCTATGGTCCTACAAACCTCGCTAGAGTGAGTGTTCTCAAGGGCAAGCCTGTGCATCTGCTCTTCATGGGGTTCCTCTCACTACTGGTTTAAGAAATACTTTCTCAATTCAAGGTCTCAATTTCTAGAAGAGATAGTGACTTTATGCAGTAACTTACAAAATAATTCATTAAGTGCACAAATCAGAACCATACATTTATTAATATATCAACCATGTTAACATAGACATGATATATGTAGGGAAATAATATTCAAGGGAAAGACAGCAAAGTACCTTGTTTTTCCTCAGAATTAGAGACAGAAATACGATTTTTATTTATTTTGTAATAATTTTGGTATATATTTCTAAATTTTCAATTACTGCTATTCTGAGAAAAGTATTCCAAGTTGTTCAGAGAAGCTATAGAAGATGAGGGCTGGTTGGACCTAGGCTTCCCATTAACATGTTTAATCATAGGACACCCATGACATCTTTCTGGGCTGGGACAAGAGGTCTTTTGCTGGGAGGAATGAGCTTGATGCACTTAGCATGAATCCTCTAAGGGCTCATGTCTCTAGACTGTTGCTGAGTGTCACATGTTCCAAATGTAAGACACCCGAAAAGGGCACGAAAACCAGAATGGGAATTCTCTCTTACAAATGGCTTCTAAAATCAAAAGGCCAGCCAGATTCGTGGAGCCTTGTAGTGCCAGTGGGATCTGCTAGTAACTTTTGTTTCTTCCAGGCAGAGGGAAACTCAGTTTTCCTCGTTAGAGGAAGTCTTTCCATTCTCTCTCACTCATCATTGTTGTGATGACCCTAGAGTGGAATCCATCCTGCACTTCAGCCCTGGGACCTGGCTGACTGTAGGCTACAAGTGTAGCACTGCCCTGTAGAAAGAATGCCCATTGCTGTCATCTTGATGGAAA